CCTATTATGCTGGATGGGAAGCCTTGACGTTCCACAATGGCATCTCATATCGAATAGGCCGTTCACAGTTAAGTCCTTCTATGAGCAGTAGTTTAAGTTCGAAAGTAAATGGCTTTATTTTCCCATTTCCATAAATGTGGAAGACCAGAGTCCCTCCCCATGTTTTGTTGTTTGCCTGGAAGATAGTAGGGAATGTTTTCTCACAATAGATAATTTGTGGAGGCGAGGCAAGATATTGGTCAATGCTTGTTATTTTTGTAAGAGGGTAGAGGTCTGAGACTTGCAACCATGTTTTGCTATGATGTCATGCGGTTTACAAGTTCTGAACTATGGTTTATGGGTTGTTAGACATCAATTGGATCATAGCAGATTAGGTAAGAGACGAAATTCACGCATAGAAGTGCATTAGCGGCCAAAGAAAACAAGTGGACCTAATACCACTCACTATCTTTTGGGTTTGAGTAAAAAGGCTTTTGACAGAGTTGAAGATGTAGATAGTTTTGATATACTTAAGAATAGATGATTCCAAACCCTTGGAGTTTTTTGTTAGGAGGTCATCCTCTTATTCAATGGAGGATTTAGTGGACCTTGTTGATACTTTGACTAACTTGTAAATTTTGCACATGGGTGGTATCCCCTTGGTACCTACATTGATATACTCTTTACACTTTATATTTAAAAAAAAAATCATATTTGTTAGTAGTTAAAGATTGTTCTCTGGAAACCCTCGGAATCTATAATCTATTAACTATTTGGGTTATATTTATTAACTTTAATATATTATTTTGGAGAAATCAACTGTTATAAATTTATTGATAATGAATTTTTTCTAGAAGAAATTTGTTGGTAATGAATTAATATTATATTCTTATTTTAAAAAATATTAAATTTATTAATTAATGAAACACAAAGTTAATAAATATACTTACTGAAAATGTTATTCACCTCCCATAACACAAATGATTTCGCAAAGCAACTCTGCTATATTTTTTAAAAGCCAAAAACAGCTGCTTTTACTCAAAAGCACCTCTGCTTTTAGTATTTGACTAATTTCTGGTTTTTGACAGTAAAAGCGGAAGCAACAATTCAGCTAAACAAGCACTTCTGCTTTCAACTAAAAATGCTTACGGCACATTGAGCTCATTAGAGCTAAAAAGCTATATGGGATTGGGAAAAAAAAAGTTCATTGCAAATTATAGTGAATTACTTCTTAATTATCCATATATTAATGATATTATTACTACTGTTTAATTTAATAGTATGTCATTAGTATTTTATATAATTTCTTCACATTTTAAGATTTACTTTTTCCATCTCAAACGAATAAGTGCATCCAACAGGTAAGCTACCCATCGGCTCTACTATTCTAAGCTTAAAGGTATCAAGTTTTCTTTTATTAAAAAAACCATTTCAACCAATTATTTAATTATTAAAAATTTATAACATTTTGTACCTTATGTAGGAATCTAGATGCCATGGAAAAAATCAAAGAAGGGTGATGTCAACTCCTAGTATATCACTAAATACATACAACATAAATAGCCATGTCCAATCTAAGCAAATACCCACAATCTAGAACCATGGTTTTCCATTGCTGCTTACTGTCATCATGTTATTCATAAGCCTATGGCAACCACCATAAAAAAATAAGGCAATCAGAAGTTCAAAAGGAGACCAAGAAGGGAGAAAAAGATGAAAGAATGAACTTAACATATACTACCCAATCATAATAGAAAATACACAATAAAACATCAAATGTGTGAAAAAGAAAAAGAAAGTAAATCTTTCTGAATTAATAATGTAAGATGATGATTGAAACTTCATAAGAACTTCATTAAAGAGAATTACTCACTTTCTCTGGATCCCCTATCACCAATTACCCCTGCGCCTCTTGGTCCACTAACATCCTTGTTTAACTGCAACAAAACCAGCAATATAAGACAACAACAAAATTAGAAACCTGCACTTATAAACTAACATTTGAAAGATTCAGACAATGCATCAAGACAGGCCAAAAGCAGGATTCTATGATTAAACCATATAGAGGCAGTAACGAAACACATAAGCTATTTTCCATATGAAGAATAATTTTAAATATATTGAGATGTGTTATTCTCACACACAGACACAGACAAATTACTTATTAGTGTAAAGATAACATTAAAATAAACATCCCTCCCCTATTTAGAAAAGCAAGTTGAAACTCTGGCCATGCATGGAAATAATAAAGTAAAATGCAATATTTTTTTTTTTTACCAATGATGATCTGTTGAGAGATCTATATCGAAGCCAATAGCCTCTAATAATATGTAACTAACAGCATGATAACATTTTAAGTCCTAAAAGTCATAACAAAAGAGGCATTGCTGTAATTAATGGACAACCCAAAGGCACTGCACAACAAGAACTATTTCTCACATAGGG